TGGTCTCCGGTGTGGGGGTCGCTGACGGTGTATCCGTAATCGTAGTGGGCTGGTGCTGAGGGCTCAGCAACAACAGTCTTGGCCACTGGAGCGTAAGCAATTGGGGTAGCCACCTAAAGAAAACCGCATTTGGAAATGAGTCGGAATATCGAGAATTTGGAATCGAAGTGCTACCTTTGTAGTGTAAGCCAAAGGAGCAGCAGCGTATGACAAAGCTGGCTGGGCAATGTATCCAGCGTGGGCAACAGCCACGAAGGCAGCGAGGACTACAAACTGTAAAAAATCAAAATATTGGACCGACTTTTAACTCAAAGATTCCTTATTATGCAATCAAATTTTTGTGTTTCAAATTTGCATTTTTCGTTACTACAAAGCATAAAATACTGAATAGGAATTCAAGTTTGACTTTGGTTAGAACACTTCACTAATTCGAATTTAATTTATTTTGAATTCTCCGTATTTTCTTTTCCAAAATAATATTTATATGTACATATTTTCACTACACTCACAAATGATGGAAGCCATAAGACGAAATTATTAGTTAAACATTATTAAATAATAAGGGCACCAATTCGGTAATCTACGTAAGCCTGTTAAAATGCATTGCACATACCTTGAAAGCCATGTTTGATTACGTTCAATCGATATGAACTGATTTGTTTCTTCATGGCTCCGGTATATATATACCTACTTCGAAAGTAGGTAAGGGGTGTGGAATCCGAATTTAGCATTTCACCGAATTGCGTCTCAAGGAAATGAGTTCCCAATTAATGGTCAATAACTGAGCAAGGTCAGATATTGCACAATCTGATAATGGATCGCAAGTTTCATTCAGAAACATTTCGTCAATGTAATGATAGTCTGCTAAATATTATAAGCGCAGCAGCGTAGCTAAAACTTAATATTGGGTTTCGATAGGGGCGTCTTCAGACTGAATTTAAATGGCCATTATTTAATAAATAGTTTATGTTTCGTCTCAAATTTTGTCATTAGGCTGTAAAACTACAAGAATTTGGGGCGGTGGGCCATTAAACGACCATAATATAAATATATAATTTCAACTAAATGAAAGAAACAATTACAATGAAAGTAACCAAAATCAAATAAATTAAGGAATATGGTCATATGTCGTCATCAGTCATAGCTAGGGTTACCGGACCTCATATTTTTAATATAATTTTTATATTTTGATCCCTTTAAGTTGTGAAATATGACACTATTTCTCATGTCCAAGATAAGGATGGATGCATTGTATGTGAATTTTCGAAACCGATACGCAAACGCAGAAAAAGCTACGCATGCATGGCCTTTTCAAAAACAAGTAGATATTTCTTTTAATGCTTGATTATTTTGATTTATTTT